CACGACAACCAAAATCTGTGTACTTTACATATTTTTTCGAGCCGGCCGGTCTCATTTTTACACAGATATATGTTTGCGGGAATCACCCAATAGCACTCTTTCGTCTGTCCTGCGTTCCCAGCACAAAAAAGTACCGTACTCAGCATCGAACATGAGTTTTTCGTTTTTCTTCTACCGGTTGTACTCGTAGTTGGAATTGCAAAACCAGAACGCATTTTGTGCTCGCTAAATTGTGACTCCTGCGTGATTTAAGGTAAGTTCCGTAAGTACGTACCTGGTACTGGTACCCACATCTGTTTGGACACATCATACAGTAATAATCTTTCCGGACACCTCATAATTGAAAATTGTCCCCTCATTTTAACAACATCAACCATGAAACTTGCTCTTGGATTGTCCCTCGAAGCCGTGATTCTTGCGTCTTCGGTCGCCTCGGCCTTCGTGGTCTCTCCTGTGCGAAAGCCAAACTTTTCTGCGTCGACGTTGTCCGTGGCCGCGGAGGAGAATGCTTTGTTCATCGACGAAACCCGGGCTTCGGTTAGCAACTACTACGGCAAGGAACTTTCGTCGTCGGACGATTTGAAAACAAATGCTTGCTGTACGGCAGGAGCACCACCTCAATACATCCAAGACTGTATCAAGAACATCCACCCTGAAGTCGTCTCTAAATATTACGGTTGCGGCCTTTGCCTTCCACAGTACCCTCTGGAGGGGGCGAATGTCCTCGATTTGGGCAGCGGATCCGGACGAGATGTTTACATAGCCAGTCAATTGGTGGGACCGACTGGAAAGGTGCGTGGACTCAAGAATAAGGGTACAAAACTCAAATTACGGGCACCAAATAGCCGAATCGATTGTACTGAACGAGAGAATAGATCGCTCTGATATGCGTGCTGTTTCGTTGTGTTCTTTTTTTAATGATAATGCGTTCGTCGCAGGTTGTCGGAGTGGACATGACTGATGAGCAGCTCGAGGTGGCCAAAAAGCACCTCGATTATCACGCGGAAAAATTTGGATTCGCGAACGTTGAATTCAAGAAGGGATATTTGGAAAACCTGAAGGACCTCAATCTGGAGCCCGGTTCCTTTGACGTAATTATTTCCAACTGCGTGATCAATCTTTGCACAGACAAGGAAGCAGTCCTAAAAGAATGCCTCAACCTTCTGAAACCCGGTGGTGAGCTGTACTTCTCCGATGTGTATGCAAACCGTCGTGTACCAAAAACCTTGCAAGAAGACGAGGTGCTTTGGGGAGAATGTCTTAGTGGCGCTCTGTACTGGTACGTATTTTAGCTCCGAAATGAACTGACAGAAAATTATCGAAAGGACTACTATGTTCCTCTTGCCACAGATGTCCCATTGCACACTCTGTGTCTCAGAATACGAGTTCTTCTATTTTGCATTTTTCCAGGAACGACTTCGAAAATATGGCACGAAAGGTTGGGTTTACAGACCCACGATTGGTCGAAGATGCTCCCATCACTGTGCAGAATGCCGAGGTAGAGCGAGCAATATCAGAATCAGGAAATGATTCTTTGAAATTCTACTCTGCTACTTACCGGCTGTGGAATTTGGATTTGGAACCCCACTGCGAAGACTACGGACAAGCCGTGATTTACAAGGAAAAATCCTGCTGCGGGGGCGCTATCGACCGGTATCCTTCTGGATGGCTTCTCGACAAGCACCACTACTTTGAAGCCGGCAAGATACATCCGGTATGTGGCAACACGTACAAGATGTTGCACGATACTCGATTGAAAGAACACTTTGATTTTATTGGAACATGGGACAATCACTACGGAATATTCGAAGGGTGCGGTTCTACAATTCCCTATGATACAGAAGAGGCTGCCTCTGGAAAGGGAGCATCCACTGGGGGCTGTTGTTGAGAAGGAATACGTGACAATAGACATCAATAGCGATGGTGTCTCCAGTATTCGTTGAACGGAACGCATCCAAATAAATTTGCTCTTACACTATTGGTATAGTTGCCTCTTTGGTTCTGCTCACCATCATTTGATAGACACGATAAATTGAAGCCCAAAAATGAACTTTATGCGTTTTGTTTTAGTTTCGTGTTTGTGGTAGACTTTAATTTTTGGACCCTAATATGTGCAAGAATCATGTGTTTACTTCACTCCTCTTAGTATTGATTCTGCTTAGTCTACCTACTACTAGTAGTCATATTTCATTTAGGGTTACTAGCTAAACAAGAATGTTAATAAATTTTAAATGTTATTGAGGGCTGATTGAATTTCAATCTGACATTGCAAGTGCCTCTCAAGCATCTGCTTATGGCTCTTGCAAGCTCAAATCCAATTCTAGTAGATCTGACTAAACCACCACCACATACTTGAGAGTAGGTACTACTACTATTAATACTGCATATCAACACTGGTGGTGGCTCCTGGCTGGTGAGGAAGCTTGCTTGTCCTACTACTAGTACAGATTACTACTATTAA